CTGGAGGGACGCACGCTCCCAACGCTCCCCGTCTGCAGATCCCGGCGGGAGCGCTGCGGGCCCCTGTCTTTTGGCTCTGTCCTTGGAACCTGAGGCGACGTGCCGTTCCCGGGGGAGGGTGTGTGAGTCGTGGGGGGCGGAGGCCGTCTACGCCATCACAGGGGCGGAGGGAACCCGTGAGTAAAGCATCAGCGTGAGAATCGGTGCTTCTGGTTCTCCGCGCCGCCTCGGATCTTTCTGCGAGGCCTCGGGCCAGCCGCCTTCCCGCCCCGTACCTCAGTTTACCCAATCACCAAGTGGAGCTGGGCCTCCTGACTCACCCATTCATCAGGTGGGGGCCTTGGCGCCCGGGGAGCCCTTTCAAAAGGACGTTGCATTCCACGAAATCCTATTTGTCGTCATTCCCTCTGTCGTCACGAGTCGAATTCCAGCAGAGGTTGTTTGTAAGAGATTCAGCTTCCTTTTCACCCTTGTCTGTCTTCTCCCCTGTTCATTTTTATTTTTTTAAAGTCTCTTGCAAGACTCGAAAGTGAGCCTTTCCTATTCTCGACAGGCAAACATAGACCGAAGAAAGACAGCCTTCCACGAAGCACTTAAATTGATAGCAGCCCCCCCCTGTTGTGTAGAAGAGAAAAAGAGGCCGTGGTCCCTTCAGGACAGCCAATCTAGGGCCTCCTAACCCAGAATATGAAGTCTGGAACATGGGTGTTCTCTTGAGGTAGGGGTCCCAGCTGACCCCGCAAGGCCCTCCTCCCTCGGTCATTGGGTGCCTCACAGGCTGCAGAGACCCAGCTACCCACTTGCTAGAAACCATCGTGAGAGTAAGGTACCACCTTTCAGGTGCAAAAGCAGAACATTTTCTTAAGGTCGAATAGCTGGGATGAAAATGACTGGTGACAGTCTTTTCCATTTTTTTGGTAAGGGAGAACCTGTTGGTATTCAAACCCGAAAACCACACCCCCAGTCATCCAGTGTTGCAGGAGGCTGGCCATGTGGTAAAAAGGAAGCAGTAGGCTAAGGAGAAATGGTTGGAGAGGAAGATGACAAACATTCCTTAGGTTAACATTGATGTCAGGAAGCCGTACTATTTATCTTCTGGGGAAGGGGGCTTCTTTTGATCTCCTTTCAGTTTCTATGTAATCCTTGCTCAAACAAGAAATCAGTCCTTACCCTAAAGTGGACGCTGGTACGTCTTACCAGGTGCATAGTTTGGGATGAAGTCTGGTAAAGCTCCACAGAAGTACATAGAAGCATACCCTCAGGAGGGTATGTGACCCATCCATCCACGGTTAAAAAGAAATATTCTCCAGTCCTCATGGAGAAATTCACCAGCTTTCAGTGGAAACAGTGCTCATTAAAAACTTGGCCTGTCTTGATTTTTAACATAATTGTTGGTATAAAATGACGCCTTAATTTTATAGCAGTAGATAGCTTTTATGGAAAATCAAATTTTAGAGGTTTACCATTTGTAAAATCCAAGATTTTCAGTGTGTCAAGTGTGTGAGCTGGTTTACATTAGTACTAATCTTCAAATTACCAAGACACCAGATTTTTGTCACTTTGTATTTTCAGTTTTTTTTTAACATCAAGATTGGTTTTCACATGTGAAAATGATTTTAAGATTGCTCACATCTAAATCAGTTAAGGTAGAACAGCCGTGGGCAAACTACTGCCCGCGGGCCGGATGCGGCCCATTTGAAATGAATAAAACTAAAAAAAAAAAACCGTACCCTTTATGTAATGATGTTTACTTTGAATTTATATTCGTTCACACAAACACTCCATCCATGCTTTTGTTCCGGCCCTCCGGTCTAGTTTAAGAACCCATTGTGGCCCTCAAGTTAAAAAGTTTGCCCACCCCTGAGCTAGAATCTTTAAGTTCTACTTAGCATCACATAATTATAATGTGTATAAAATAATACTTTTGACTTTGTAAGAAATAGGGCTAATGCTTTTGACTTGTTCTTTGATGAATATTGTTAATAAACTTAATAGTAAACTCCCCTAAACAACTAATGGCACTAGGTTTAGTTAAGTCCTTTAAACATTCCAAACTACACGTATAAGTTTAATCTATCAAGTTGACTCAACCACACAGGATGCCTGACAGTGTAAACTTATAAAGCCTAACAAAATATAAACACTTGTGTAACCAGTAAATCAAAATTATAAATATTGTCAGGCTCTCAGACATTCAAATACTGTTTACAAATGTGAATTACCTAACATCTTTCAAGTTAAAATTACAAATCTAATATCAGTTATACATATATTAAAAATTAAAGGTCAAGTGCTCATTTTGGCAATATAGCAGACCAAGATAACTTGAAAATCCTCTATAGACACCTAAAAGTATAAGAACTGACAAAAAAGGGGCACAGTTCCCCCAGCTACTGTAAGCGAAGTAAAAACTATTATGCTAACTTGGTGGTTGCCCTGGAGAGGAGTGTATGGATCTCATCATTTAGAAATGATTTCATTGCCCAAGTAACTAAAACTGGACAGGAGATGAAGCCTTGAGACCATTAGAGCTAGGTAATGGGAACTAAGACCCTTACATAAGACTTGGCTGTTTGAAGGACTGTACCTTTGGTGAAAGAATGAACTGGAAAAAACTTTGACCTACCAGCATAAGAGATAACAAGAATGCCTGGACCTGAGTGAAAAAGTTCTGAGAATTCGTAAACTGGAACCTGTGCTTCATACAATTTGGATGTATATTTAGGCTAGTTATGGGGCCCAAGAACCTTAAACAAGGAAATCAAGATAAAAAGTGGTTCTGGGTTGGTAATAACCTTGGGGCTCCTGGTACAGTGGAACCTCAGTTCTCAAACTTAATTCATTCTGGAAGGCTGTTCGAGAAGCGATTTGTTCGAGAACCAAATCATTTTTTTCCCTTTAGAAATATGTAATGCAAATTGAATTAATTAGTTCCAGGTGCCGAAATGATTCCCTGTTTTAACCTTTCTTATATATTAGTACATGTCTATTGTACTGTTACTATAAACAGTTTAAAAACAAAAAGGACATCAAATGTAAATGAAAATTTAACAAAAAGGAAAGAAATGTACAGTAAAATAATGAAAAATTGCCCGACCAGTGTGGCTTAGTTGTTGAGCATCAATCGACCTATGAATCAGGAGGTCATGGTTTGATTCTGGGTCGGGGCACATGCCAGGGTTGTGGGCTCAATCCCCAGTGTGGGGTGTGCAGGAGGCAGCCGATCAAGGATTCTCTCTCATCGTTGATGTTTCTTTCTCTCCCTCTCCCCTCCTCTCTGAAATCAATAAAGACATAAAAAATAAAAAGTTTATTATAAGCAGCAACAAAAGCAAAAAAACATGAAAATATTCACAGCAAGCCCTAACCGGTTTGGCTCAGTGGATAGAGTGTCGGCCTGTGGACTGAAAGGTCCCAGGTTCGATTCCGGCCAAGGGCATGTACCTTGGTTGGGGGCACATCCCAGGTGGAGGGTGTGCAGGAGGCAGCTGATTGATGTTTCTAGCTCTCCTTCTCCATTCCTCTCTGTGAAAAATCAATAAAATACATTTAAAAAGAAAAAATATTCACAGCAAAATATTGAGATTTCAGCAGTGGTAAACTGACTCGTATTTCCGCATTCTCTCCTTCCTTTGTCAGCTGAGAGATGCATGACTGATTGTACAGGTATCAGCATGAAAGAGTTGTCAGCTGAGGAGTGAATTGTTCAAGATGGGAGACATTCAAGAAACGAGGTTCCACTCTAATGTAAATTGAATTAATTCATTCCAGACTCCCAAATGACTCCCTGTTTAGCCTTATATACTGTACATGTCTAATGAATGTACTGTTTAATCTATAAATACTTTATTTTTTAATCCTCATCTAAGGATTTTTTCCATTGCTTTTCAGGGAGAGTAGAAGGGAGAAAGGGAGGGGGTGGGGAGAGAAACATCCATGTGCCTTCTGGGGGCGGGGTGTGAACCTGCAGCCGAGGTATGCTCTAACAACTGAGCACAGTGGCCAAGCAACTTCTTTTTTTCCCTTTTTTTATTGATTTCAGAGAGGAAGGGATAGGGAGAGAGATAGAAACATCAATGATGGAGAGAATCCTTGATTGGCTGCCTCTCGCGTGCTCCACACTGGGGATCCAGCCTACAACCCGCCCTGGCTGGGAATCGAATGGTGACCTCTTGGTCCATAGGTAGATGCTCAACCATTGAACCACACTGGCTGGGCCTTTTTTCTTAAATTTACCGAATCACCCCCTACCAGCCTTAAAGGAATCACTTTTAATATTCATTCTAGGGGTGTCTCTCAGGTCAGCATGCAGCATCGTTGCTGTTCCACATATTGCTGCCTCTGAAATGCTGTCACTGGCTGGCTAACTGCTTTTCTTTTATCCAAGGCAACACAATAGTTTTTCTACCTTTTCAATTGCCTGTGGTCATTGTTTCTTTCACACCCTTAGTAACATTGGCACTCTTTAAAAAAAAAAATTTTTTTTTTATTGATTTCAGAGAGGAAGAGAGAGGGAGAGATAGAAACATCGATGATGAGAATCACTGATAGTCTGCCTTCAGCATGTCCCCTACTGGGGACTGAGCCCTCAACCCTGGGCATGTGCCTTAACTGGGAAATGAATTGTGAACTCCTGGTTTATAGATTGATGCTTAACCACTGAGCCATACCAGCTGGGCAGCAGCAGTGCTCTTGATGACTTTATGTTTTATGATTTTCCCAGCAACAAAAGCATTATCTCCTTTGTTGTCTGAGAGCTGCTTTTTGTCATGCTGAGGTATCAGTATGAAAGGGTTGACTAGTTGAGAAAACAAAATTTGGTTCCACATTTTTTCTGTGAACAATTTGGTTGAGTACTGAATTGTTTGAGATGGGAGATGTCCCAGAAATGAGGTTTGACTGTAGAAACAAGTGAAAAACCTTTCCTGGAGGAAATTTCACACCCTAGGTCACAAGACATCTTATAGAAAAAACATGCCTTAGAAAAGATAAGTTCACAGTAAGAAAATTGCAGAACTCTAGGATAAACAATTTATCAAAATGAGTGTTAGTGACAAATGGGATTAGAACCCCTAATAGGTAATCTGAAAGGGAATACATATAATATGTTTTTATTAAAAACCTAAAAGAAGGAATCAACCCTAAGACCGAGATACTATGAAAAACCAAATATAGATTTGAAAAAGAACCAAGTACAACTTCTAGAAATGGGAAAAAAGGATAAATTGAATTGTAGATAGACCTAGTAGAAGAAATAGTGAAGGGGAAGATGTGATATAATTTACCCAGAATTCAATTCAGGAAGGATATAGAGATGAAAAATGAAAGATAAGAAACATGTCAAGTAGATTGAGGAGTCCTGTCATACATTGAATAGAAATTTGAGGAGAAAATGGAAGAATTAAAAGATGGTTGATAATTTTACAAAACTGATGATTTTTTAAAAATTAGGTAATGGTTTCAAACAAAAGTCATAGCTAGATACACATGTAAAACTGCAGATTGAAATACCAATAACAAACCTATTAGAGGGAATAGAAAACTGGTTAGATTGAGAGACTTAAAAGTTTAAGCTGGAAAATCTTGAAATCCTTGGAATTTAGAGGGAAAATAACCATTGATTTTGAAATTTTTACCAAAATAAGACTAAGACTGCCACTTTCATATCTTGGCTTACAGAACTAATAAAATGTGTTAAATCTGGAATGGAGGAGTAGAATGCAAAATAAATAATGTGGCGGAAGCAAACAGTAAACAACAAATTATTGAAGATGAAAATGATTACATTTAGAGATTTTAAGAACGTGGCAGCAAAAGGATGGGGAAAAAGTGGGGCAAAATAATAGTTGAAGGCTGATTGGCATGTTATTAAGATTCTTATATTCTAACGGAGGTTGAAGATCATTTTGAACTTTGCCAAGAATACATGTTAAAATTGAACATAATTATGAATGGTGACTTATTAAAACAAATTGAATGTATCACTTATAAAGTAGTAAAAGGAAAATGTAAACATTCAATAGAAGGCAGGAAAGGAGTTTAAAAGGAATAAAAACACCAACCCTGGTAAGTAGAAAGTCCAATATTAGTGGGTAGAAATAAGAAAAGTAACAATAGTAAAAGTACAGAGACAATTTAAAGACAAAGATTTTCACATTGGAATAAAATTATCTAAATGGGCTGTTCAGAAATATGCCTAAAATATAAGAAATATTGAAAGTATAGAGATTGAAAAAGATTCAGCAGGAAAAAAACAAAAGGGAGATTATGTTACCAGCAGAATAATGTGTGGACATTTTAAATGATAGTTTTTATGTAATGAATGTTAAAAGGAAATTCACCAGGAAGATATAAAACGATACTTTTATGTGCCTAACATTAATTATAGCCTCAAAATATGAAAGCCAAAAAAAAAAGGTAGTCAAATAGAGTTTTTAAACATGCGTCTCTGTAATTAATAGGTTGGGCAGACCAAACATTAGTAAGAATATGAATGATAGAACTAATAAGCATCATCTTATAGACTTAGGGAATTCATTTAACAGAAATACACAGTTCTTTTCAAGCACATAGGGATATTTATGCAAGTAAAGTATTTTTTTTTTCAAGGAGGAAAAGCAACAAAACAGCAAATCCTAACAAATACCAGGAATCATATAGAAAATACCTTTTCTTACTGCAATGGAATATAATTAGAAGACAAAGACAAAGAGAATCAAACCCTATACACTTGGAAGTAAAAGCACTTACAAATAATTTATGGATCCAGACACAAGGCCCAGGTGTCTACTTGTAATGAGCAGTTGTTTGAAATGCCCTAAATAATTATAAACTGATTTTCTCTGATGAATATAACCATCTGTATCAGACTCAAGTATTTATACTAAGGGTCAGACTTATTGGTCAATATGTTTATTTTTATATCTTCTGCAGTTTTAAAGTCAGCTAGCTGAAGACAATTTCACAGGGCTGAAGTGACTGGGTTACAGTTAAGGACTCAATACTAGATTTGAGCTAGGTACACATGACCTATGTGTTGTGCACTTCCATAATTTTGCCTGAATCAAAGGGATATACAGTGGGGCCTTGACTTAAGAGTTTAATTCGTAGTGACGGAGCTCGTAACTGAAAGTGAATAAGTGAGACACGTGATGCTGGGCTGATGTTGTGGCGTTCACTGTGACGTTCGCTGCGCCAGCTAGCGGTGGGTATCTGAAGCTGGCTCGTAACCCGAAAAAAATCGGCCAAGAGACGGCTGGTATCTCGAAAAACTCGTTAGTCGGGACACTCGTAAGTCAAGGCCCCACTGTATACTGAGATCCTAGACTCCACTCTTGTCACAGAGAAATCACATTCATACTTTTGGATATAGTTTGACCATCATGCATCCCTAAAGTATCTTAAATTTTATTCACATTACACCTATCCTGCCCCCCAATAATTCTTTTCCGTTTCTTATTTGATTAAAGCTAAGTTTGCCCCTCATTTGATAGATACATCTAATCGCTATGGTCCAGTTAGTGTCTTTATCCTTTTCATGTTTTTCTTACTTGCTTAGCTATAAATTTAGTCATTTACTACCATGGGCATGGCAGTGATGGAGTTTTTTCTTTTTTATCTCAAGTAGCTTTATGTCTTTCACATTGATAGAAGTAGTTTGTGTCAGGATTGCATTCAATATTCTTATAATTAAGGCTTAAAAAATAATTTCAGTCTGATTGGAGAACTTAGGAAAGAGCCAAATTTGATGTCACCCACTTAGTAACTATAGAGGCCCATGCATGAAATTTGTGCAAGAGTAGGCCTTCCTTCCCCCGGCTGCTGGCACCGCCTTCCCTCCTGCACCTGGGACCTGGGCTTCCCCTGCAGCCCTGGCTTCGTCTGGAAGGTTGTCCCTAAGGACATCCAGAAGGACGTCTGGTCTAATTAGCATAATATACTTTTATTGTATAATAATGTTTTCATACTGTAACTTTATATGAGTTGAATGAAAAAGTCACTGATTTAATTTTTGGTTGGTTTTCAGAACTGTCCAACAACAAATGGTTGTTTCAAATTGGGTGAGGTTGGGTCTAATGGTCAGCAGTTTGACTATGAGTGTCATTTTTTGCTTGAAAGTATTTCATATAATACTCTTAAAACATTTATATTTTAATTACCGTTTACATTCAGCATCCTTTCGTATTAGTTTCTGGTGTACAGTATAGTGGTTAGACATCATATAGTATATTGCTCTTATTCATCATTAATAAACTTAGGTCAATCATTTGACTCTAAGTAGGAGCCTGAAGGATAGAGCCTATTAAAAAGTTTTTGATAAAGCATACATTTTGAAGTATTGAGAAAATATTTTTCTTTTTTTGACATATATTACTCAATTCATGCCTTTCTTGGTAGATTTTATTGCCAAAAAGGAAGCTTGAAGTAGGTGTTGCTGAGTTGCTATATCAATTGGCTAAGACCTTGAAAGCTTGGTAAAGTTATATTTAAACAACTAATAGCTGCTTTTACCAAGTCTTCACAGATGTTTTTGTTGCTGCTGACAGCCAAGGCAATCCAGTACAAGGGAATGGTAAAGATGTTGGGCTGAGAAGGATATGGAAGTAAATGTAATCCTGGCATTTATCTTGTCAGAGTGTCTTCCCCCTTTTTGGTCCTGGTTAGTTTTAAGATGTCTTTTTGTATATAAAGGTAATATAGCTTGAGCTTTTGAGTTTTTGTTAAAAGGATGGATTTTTCACTGATCATTTCACATTTGATCACTTGGTCCTTGTGACCATTGGGACACGTTTGTGTAGTAGTTGTTTTCAAAGGTATAGGTACTATAAACAGCAAATACTATTTGTACAGATTTCTCCTTGCACAATATTTTTAACTTTGTTTTTTCTTTCTGTAGTTTCTTTATATGACATTTTCTTATCACATTATTCTATAAGGTCTAAAACCAGCCTTTGAGGGAAGCATAATTTAAAATCAGATTTAAAATTCTTTTTATGTGTTTTAGATTCTGGAAGTTACGGTCAGTCTGGGGGTGAGCAGCAAAGGTAAAGTATACATACATTTTAATACCATGAAAGAGTAGAACTGAAAAAAAGATGAATTTAGTCAGGTCTTCCCACTTGAGATTTGGTATTTGGATGTCTTAAGAGTTAAATATGAGCTCTGCAAGGGAAAAGAGTCAGCCTTTGTAAATAGGTGCTGTGAAACATTTCCTCCCTTTTTAAAAGACTTTGAGTCAGTGAATATAGATGCCTCCTGGAGATTAAAACAAACCTTACAGTTATTGTAAAGATTGTTTTCTTTGGAAAATTTAAAAAAGAAACAGTTATTAAAAGGATTTAAGCAATGAACTATAATAGGTTCTTAGAAAAAGCATTTCATATTTTATTGTATGTAATATGTTCATTTGGAACAGATTTTCTAGAAGCACTATAATAGAAATGGTTAGCATTTTTTAAAGACTTATCATGCTCACAATAAAAAGTATATTTTTATGTGAATGTTTACATGTAGTAGAGTTCTCATGCTTACTAGAAATACAGCCTTCAACTTATACGATAAATGTTTTGCAGTTCACTGTGAGATACTCAGGATAGCATCTCAGATATCGGTTCATGAAAACTGATTTAATTTTTTATTCTCATAGGATAGTGCTAATCTCATAGTAGGCAGCTAGCAAATGTTTATTCAATGAAATAGATTTCTCAAACTTAAATTTTGTTAGCACTTGAAAGCTCTAAAATGGTAAGATTTTTTGTAAATGTTTTAGTTTTCTTTGGCGTATAGTTAGAAAGTTTGTTTTTGACTTCTTAAAACTTGTTAGGCAAAATTAAAGACACTTCTTCAAATCTGAGGAAGTTACATTTATTCAGTCAAATTGTATTCCAGGCTGTGTTTTGACACTGGGGATACAAAATAATCTTATTTTATGATAATATTCTGAAGATGCACATAATTCTAATTACCACGGCACGAAAATTAAACTTTTAGTGCCGCCCTGTGCCTTTTCTAGGAAATGAAAGGCAGATTTAAGGCAAATAGTAGGAAGAAATTGATCTGTCAAAACATAATAAATTGATTAAAGCACTGACAATCATCATTTTTCTCTGTCAGATATTTGTTATGGGTTTTGCTGCCTTATTGTCCCTCCTTCCCCACGTTCCAAGCATAATTCTCTGGTGAAGAGATTTTCCAGCTCTGGTGAAGTTTTGTTTAATTGTGGGGGATTATCAAAGGAAAACTTTTGGTGTTTGTTTGGCATCCAAAAGGTCTGGGAATGACTTCATTTATGTCTTTAGCAGTCTTTGATCATCACCTTTCAGTTTACACTCAAGAGACGGGCAGATTGACAGTTTCTCAGAAAAGAAGCTTATTTTTGAAAATGAGGATAGGGTTCTTCAAGCTGTTAAATTTGCTAGTGCCAATGTTAGCAAATTTCTTTCAAGTAGTACATTCTTTTTTTTTTTTTTACAGTTATTCTTCCTATGGAAATCAAGGCAATCAAGGTTATGGACAAGCACCACAAGTAGGTTAAGATACAAATTGTGTTCTTTATAAATAGTTATTTTTATCTTAAGTAGGTGATGAAACTTGTATTTACCTAAATTTCAGAGCTATTCTGGTTATGGGCAAACTACTGATTCCTCATACGGACAGAACTATGGCGGCTACTCCAATTATGGACAAAGCCAATCAGGTTGGACTGGTTTGTTAAATTTGCTACTTTACAAATTAAAAAAATCAGAACCTTTACTAAGTGGTATATCCATCCAATCTTTAGGTTACTCACAATCCTACGGTGGTTATGAAAATCAAAAACAGAGCTCATATGGCCAGCAATCTTATAATAACCAGGGACAGCAAAACACGGAATCATCAGGAGGGTAAGGAAACAGTAAAAGTACTGAGATTGTGTTGGGCAGTGGAAATAATACTTTGCATATTAAACAGGTTTCAGCAATATACTCCTAACTAAACATTTTTTTCAGAAATGTTTTGATGGAGTATGAATTTCACAGTGTTATTGTTATGAAGAGTGTGGAAATTGTCAGCATTGTCATTTAATACTTATGATGTGTTATTTGTAAAATGATTATTTAGCTGTAAATGAATGCACATGAAAGAAAAACTTGACCTCTCCTTTATGCCTGAGATTAAATAAAAACTTACCTATAAAAGACTTTTCAATGCTTACTTTTATTTCTATTTTATTTTTTAACTATTTTTAATGTATCATTTTTTGAGGGACAAAAATATTTTAAAAAGTGTCAAGACCTGTTTAGATACCCTAAAATATATTTTATTAATATAAGTATGTGAATATTTGCCAGCAAGTTTATTGGTTTTATAGTTGTGGTTTTTAAAAAATATGTTTTTATTGTTTTTTGGGGAGAGAGAGAGAGAAACATTGATTGGCTGTCTTTTGCATGCTCCCTACTGGGGATCAAGCTTGAAATCTGGGTATATGCTCTGACTGGAAATTGAACCTGAGACTCTCAGTACATGAGGTGATGATGCTCAACCAACTGAGCCATACCAGTAGGAGCTTATTGTTGTTGTTTTTTTAACTTTCAGATTTGAGGAGTCTGTACTTATTATTAATTTTAATAATAGTGATTTGCTTTTTTAAATTGTTCTTTACATTTTGTGAAATGCTTTTGTATTCTCTAATTTGATTGATCCTTGAACACCAGTATAAGATAGTACCAGTAATTATCTCCACTTTATAAAATTAAAGAAAAGCTGTTCAGATCACATAGTTTGTCAGGTTATACAGCTAAAAAAATGAAGGAAAAACTGAAGTCACTAGTATTTTCTCTTGCAGCAAAGAAAATTATTCTAAGTGAAATTCAAATAGAAGCAATGGGGAAAGATTTGTGAGGTCAAACTATCAGTTTAATAAGAGTGCTTTGAAAAGTAGAGAGTGAGTACAAATGTAGGGGCTAATATCCAGAAAGCATGCTACATTGGAAGGAAGAACTCTTCAAACCCTACTAGTAAGTTTTAAACTTAAGAAGAACCCTTTTATAAGGATACATTTTTGGAAGTGTCACATGTAAAAGTAGACCAAAGAGAAATGTTAGATTTCGGTTCACAACCAATTAAAAATATTTTAAAAATTGATTTTAGAGGACGGGAGAGAGAGAGAAACATTGATTTGTTGTTCCACTTATTCATGTATTTACTAGAGGCCCAATGCACAAAATGCATGCAAGGGGCTCGGCCTTCGCAGCCGTGGATTCGTCAGGAAGCTTGTCCTGAAGGACGGGTCGTTCTGCTGTTCAGTCTAATTAGCATATTAGCTCTTTATTATATAGGATTAGTTGCTTCTTGTATGCGCACTGACTAGAGATCAAACGCAACTATTTAAAAAGTGAAGTGCTAGGGTTCTGACCATTAATATGATACGTTTTGAGTAGGAAGTTGGGAAACATACTGATTGTTCTGATCATCGGATGCAGAATAAGATGTGGCTATTAACTTATGAGACCTTTTAAAAAAGTGAATATTAGAACTCAAATCCAAGTAAGTGTTCCTTTCAACATCCCCATCCTAAGGCAGGTGATTAATAGTCATATTGCAAAGAACATACTTAGAATTTCCTTTTTGAATTGCCAGAGATAATAAGAAAGCAATGTTATTATTTGGTAGTTAGACTTCTTTTCAGATATAAAAAATGGCATCACAAAGCGAATTCTCTTTTCACTCAGCAGACTATAAATATCTGAATGCATACCTGTTTTCTAAAATATATTATCATTGAAGGTATTTAAAAGAATGTACTCTTGCCCTGACCAGTTTGGCTCAGTGGATAGAGCATCGGCCTGCGGACCGAAGGGTCCCGGGTTCGATTCCAGTCAAGGGCATGTACCTTGGTTGCGGGCATATCCCCAGGGGGGGGGATGCAGGAGGCAGCTGATCGATGTTCCTCTCTCATTGATGTTTCTAACTCTTATCCCTCTCCCTTCCTCGCTGTAAAATATCAATAAAATATATTTAAAAAAAATGTACTCTTAAGATGAAGAAGAATGTGATGATGAATAAGTTGGGTTTAGTGCAGTTTTTTTCTTGTCTATAAAACCATTTAACCCCCCCTGTACACAACTAATTCCTTTTAAAGAAAAAATTTGAAATGTAAGCTGTGTAAGATTTATTTTTAAGCTGTACAGTGTCTCTTTTTCTATAGTTAACACACTACCAAATGTCTTCAGATATCCCTGTCCTACGGATATTTTCAGTAGCCACTAACTTTCCTGGTATAGTATGGGAATTGTATATTCGTATGGCAATTTAAAGCAGGTTCTTGTTGGTGCACAGCACGTATATAGGGATGGTAGTTTTTTCATCTTCAGTTGTCTGATGCAGCTTATACGAAATAATTGTTCTGTTACTGACTATACCACTCTAATTGCAAAAAATGTTGCAGCTGTTTTATTGACATTCTGAATGCTTCTAAGTAAATATACATTTTTAAAATAAAATAAAGAGAATGTACTGTAGGTTCTAAAGATAATTATAAAAAGTAGTCCTGCCCTGCCAGTGTGGCTCAGTGGTTGAGTGTCAACCTGTGAACCAGGAGGTCACGGTTCCATTCCCAGTTAGGGCACATGCCCAGGTTGCTGGCTTGATCCTGAGTAGGAGGTGTGCAGGAAACAGCTGATCAGTGATTCTCTCTTATCATTAATGTTTCT